AGTCTAGCTCCCATGCACCACACACCTAGAGATTTCATGATGTCATATGGCAAGTTCGGGCAAAAAATTAAGAAGTGACATAGAGAACCAAAGACAGTTTTCTGCAATGCTGCCCAGCATTTGCAGGCTGGGATTTTTTATCAATTGACAAAATTTGAGGAAATTTTTTGGAGTGACTTTTTTACTTTAATCTTTTTTTAGTAGGCTAAACAAAAATTTTGACATGATAAAACCTGTAAAATACTGTTTAAACACCATGATCAAATATATTATTTGGAATTATTCATTAAAAATTTCTTCAAAAATGATTCCTATTGCTAACAAGCAAAGGGCCAGACTTGGTGAGAATATAGCCTTAAGCACAAACAGCTCCTTGTCCAAAGAATAGGACCCACTTCTCAAGCATTTTCCAAAAATGTACCCCTGAAAATTTAGTGTTTATCTTATAAGTCTTTGAAAATTTCATGTCTTTGAGTGACAATAGCTGAGTGGATTTAGCAAAAGCATACATATAGTCTGACATCCTAAATGTAATAGTGTCTTCAGCGGCAATAACAGACAGATCAAAGACCCCAGCAATCCTGCAGGAAGTAATCTGGTGTTACTGGATACTAAAATGGCATCTATCTGATGAAGAGATACTGTCATCAGAACCTAACAAATTATATGACAAACTGGTTGATATTTAAATTCCAAAACCTCAAAACAGGATAACAACAACAACATAATACCCAAATAACATAATCAAAAACAATTTTCGAAACTAAAAGTAAGCAACAATGCCAAAACATTCTTCTGGAGGATCCATCATAACTATCTGCCTACAAATGCTTGGAAAAAAACAAATGATTAATTTCCACTGTTCTATATGCTAATGCACTCATACATAAAAGATATGGGAATTCTTGGAAAATTTCAGGAATATTAAAAAAACTAACAAACATAAACAAACTCCAATGGCTTCATAATGTGCAAAATGAAGTAAATTATGCTTGGAATTATACAGGTCTCTGAAATGACAAACAAACTAATAATCCTACAAACTGCAAAAGATGGATTGTTGGAATGCAACTAACTTAACTATATTGTATATTTTTCTCTTTAATTCAATGAAACAAAAATGCAACATTGTTTTGAAATGTATGCAGTCATTTGCACTGCAAAAGCGATATGTCTCACTGAACTGCAAGAACATTTATGAAACTGTTCTGTAAATCAATGTAAATATTTCGAGAAAAATAAAAACAAAAGAAGTGGATTTTGTTTCTTTTTAATATTATTATTTTATTGTTTTTCACATCATTAGCATTATTATTACTACTATTATTATTCATGTTTAAAGCTTATAAAACAAGAAATTAAAAATTGTGACATCATTTCCTGTTTAGTGAAAACAATCCTCTTAGATTTAACTCTTTTGCGTCATGAAATAAGACTTCTATTTCTTTACATTTATTTTCACATATTTTACATACAAGCGAATAAGCTTCAGACATTACTGCACATGGATGAAAAAGACAAGGGATATGAAATAAGCATAGCATAGTCTCAGCGTTTTATTTTTTTTAAATTGTTAATATTATGGACAATTTCCTCATGCACTCATTCAAATATCATAATACAGTAGAACCTCGAAAACTCGGCCTAATGTGGACCGAAGGGTGGCCGAGTTTGTGAAAATGCCGGGTTATTGGGAATGGGGTTAAAAAAGGATAAGTATGCGTGTTTCCTCAGAAAATACTGTACTGTACTTGTATGTATTGTTTGCTTGAGAATACAACAGAGAATAAACTGCCCAAATACCCTTAAACAAAGAAAAAGTACATACTTTATGAAGGCATAGAGCCTTTACTACATGAAAATGAAAATTAATGAATACACTGTGTACAGTAATTTACCTGATAAGACAGACCTCAGAAAAATACTTTATGAGAGCTTTTATACTTTTATAAAGCTGTCTATAATGAAAATTAATTAACTAAGGATTTTTTTGCCCTGCCAGGGTGTGGCCGAGTTATCCGGAGTGCTGGGTTATCGAGAGCCGAGTTTTCGAGGTTCTACTGTACCACCATATCTTAAAATAAATATGAAGAAATAAAAATTTTACTTGACAACATAAAAGAGTTAATCAACAGAGACTTGTTTTCACTAAACAGTAAATGACATCACAATTTTTAATTTCTTGTTTTATAAGCTTTAAACACGGAGAATAATAATAGTAATAATGATGTGGTAAAGTAACAATGTTACACATAAAATAAAATAATAATGTTACATGTAAACAAAAACTAAAGTTTAAACCTACATTATCTAGCTTGAGTGCCTTGTATCTTATCCACTTGACTATTGCCACTTAGAGATGGGAAACTTTCAAATACTTACAAGATAAATGTTAAATTCAGGGCTGTGGAGTCGTGTAAAAGTGTACCGACTCCGACCATGGACAGACTTGTTACCGAAATAGGCCTGGAAATTCTGATGTAATCACGTGATCTCAGACTAAAAGATTCAATAAATAGAGTTCTAATAAAGATAGAACGTAAAAATGTGTCTTTTCCAAAGCTAAAAGACTTCTCTAAGTAATGACAGTCAATATATAAATATGTATTCAATAATTTTTACTTTCTCAGCTGTTATATATAATAGAAAGTGTAGCGATTGGCCAAAAAATGACCCCTCCCAAATTTTTACACTTCTGGACTCAGGACATCTTCAAATATTGAGATATGCAAAAGATAACGGTTTTTTTCCTGTATGTATGGTTGTTAGACTGTATGCGGGACACCCTGTATGATCACCCTGTTTTGAAGCCTGATAAGTTTTGTGGTTTTTAAATTTGAGTCAGATGGTTTAACACAGGTAGGGGCGGATCTAGGTTTTTCGGGAAATAGGGCTTATTGAAGTCCAATGGGGCTCCATTTTTACTAAACCTAATCTATTAACTATTTTTTACTATACAATAAGTGCTCGTTGTTAATGAAGAAGTGTTAAAAATTTATGATGATAATTAAATTTTGGATCCTTGACATTTAGGGACCCAGGGCTTAAGCCCTATTAGTCTGTGTATAGATCCACCCCTGAACATAGGCATTATTAAGCTTCAAAATGGTTGATCTAAATTGTGCCCCCATACACATTCTAACATCTCAGGCAAGAACATCTTAATGGGTTCTATTGTACTATTATAAAATGACAACAAGCTTAATTTTGAGGGTAGAGACAAGTTTTATAAAAAAAAAATTGTGAACACTAATAACGAGTAAAATATTCATTAAGTCCCACCAAACTGGAGATATGACACACGACTCCTTCTATGTCTCCATCCTGTCTATCTTTAATTAAGAACCAAAATTTAATAGCATTAATGTCCCTTTATACACAAGTTATTGTGCCAAATTTCATGTTTTAAACTTTATTCATTCTGAGATATTATATAATACCTCAGAACAGAAGAAAGAAATTAAACAAATTAGATGCCAGCACACATGAAGTTTCCCCTTTTATTTGACATTTTTTGGGTTCAGGAGGTTTCCAAACATGTAGATTGCAAAAAGTTCAGAAGGTCAAATTTGACACAATTCCAATACTTTTCTGTTTTATATACATAACAAGTTGGAAGGTAAAAAGGAGTCAGAATTGGTGGACTTTTGACAACTCCAACTCCGACTAAAACACCAAAACTCCACGACTCCGACTCCACAGCCCTGATTAAATTTTCTGAGACCCATTTTTTGGAAATGCTTGAGAAGTGAATCCTATTATTTGGATGAGGGACCGTTTGTGTTTAAGGCTATGTGCTCATCAGATTTTGTTCAAATTGAAGACCCAAGCATCTGATCCTCTCCTTGTAAGTGACAGATTAAGATGTTACTTTTGCTTTCTAGATGTCAAACTGATAAGGCTACCAGCACCTGCATTAATTAGTAAATAATACTGGTGGTGATAAATAATTTGAAGTGATTAAAACAAATATTAAAACTGGTGAATGGTTGGCGATATTTTAAAATTTTTCAGAGCGATCTCTGCTAGAGGGATCACTCTGGAAAATTTATTAGTCCAAATACAACCAAATATTGTAAGCTGATGTTTTAGGACATGTTGAAGATATTTCTGTATAAAAATCAAAGCATTATTTTGTGATTTTATTTTTCTTTGGGGTGCTGTAGTTTGAGTGCTCTTATGGAGCCACCACTGGAGCTATATATTATAGTAAATACATCTTATAAAAATTGTAGCGCATAAAATAGAGACTTTGTTTAATTGGAATAACCTTTTTATAATGGATTTTAGAAATTCCAAATAATTAAGATAATTGCTTTTATTAAATTTTTTTACAGATTATCAATATCATTGAATTCATTCAATTATATTTTGAAAGTAACTTATATCCTTCCTAGGACTATCTTCAAAATATGTACAAAGTTTCGTAAAAATTAGTTCAGCTGTTCTCACATGATACTTGAACAAAAAGACAGACGTTTTATATAAATATAGATGTTCCATTTTGTTCTAGTATTTGATAAAGAATTCTATAGTTGTCCTATTTGGAACGGACATTAAAAAATGTCCAAAAGAACTTAGTCTATACTGTTATGATGTTTATTCCATTAATAGCTGAAATTTAGTGTCAGAATATTGATATTATGGAGCATGTTTTTGAAAATGAAATAATGAATTTATTAAAAAAATACTTATAATGAAAATTAATATTAAAATCTCCTAAAATATAATAGATATAATTGTTAATTTAAAAAAAAGCAAAATATAAAATTGAATGAATATGAAGTATATAAATATTTCTATATTTAAATATTATGCTGATATCTAATCATAATTTTGATGTTTATATTGTAAATATAACATAAAAAAGCATTATTAAAAACAAAAACTAAAATTATTTTTAAATATATTTATATATAAATCTTTACTTTTTGTAGGATTAAGTTTATTTTCTAAAATATGAAATCTTTAAGATATTAAATATTGATATTTTTTAATAGGAAAAGAAGCCAGAAAAAGAGAATTAAAAAAGGTAAGTTAATAAAAATAACAACAACAATGAACAAAAGAATTAGAGAAACTCTGACAACACAAAAAACATTAACATGACATAATAAACACCATCCTAAATCCTCCATAGAAAGGCTGATTCTTCTATGTAAAGAAGAAGGACCAGGTCTCACAGATATAATAAATGTTATCAACAAACAAATACAAATATTGCAAGAGTATTTCTAGAAAAACAAGAAACATCACAATTACACACTAGCAATAACTCTTCCAGATAAAATAATACATTGTTAAAACTATACAAAACTGACTTGGTCATAAAACATACATAAAAGATGGATATCATTAAACAGTCTATGACTGGAAGGAGCTCCATGAAAAGGAAAACCGTAATCTTAGCTAGGATCATGTTGAAAAACTTTCAAATTGTTAGATGGCTTAAAATAAATTTGCCAGGATGAATTCACAAATAGAAAAATTTAAAAAAATATATTTTCTTTGGACTATACATATAACTGAGTCCATCTTCATCTGTCCTTTCACACACTTTGTAGAGGCAATAACAAATTCACTTTGGGAAGAGAGACAGAGGTAAGCGCATATTTGATCGAATATTATAAATAAGTTAAAACAGTCCTCTAGCGGTGGCCAATATAATTATTAAATAAATAAATACATTAAAATAAATTTGCCAGGACGAATTCACGAATAGAAAAATTTTTAAAAAATATATTTCCTTTGGACTATACATATAACTGAGTCCATCTTCATCTGTCCTTTCACACGCTTTGTAGAGGCAATAACAAATTCACGGTGATACCGACCTTTTATTTGAGGCTACATGTTCGCCGTCCAATGTAATGTATATGTATAGTCCAAAGGAAATATATTTTTTTAAATTTTTCTATTCGTGAATTCGTCCTGGCAAATTTATTTTAATGTATTTATTTATTTAATAATTATATTGGCCACCGCTAGAGGACTGTTTTAACTTATTTACATTGGATGGCGAACATGTAGCCTCAAATAAAAGGTCGGTATCGCCGTGAATTTGTTATTGCCTCTACAAAGCGTGTGAAAGGACAGATGAAGATGGACTCAGTTATATGTATAGTCTAAAGGAAATATATTTTTTTAAATTTTTCTATTTGTTAGATGGCTCTTTGGAGAGATGGATTTATGATTGCCATGTATGACCAGATCTTAAATATAAGACTACAGAAAGTATATTTTAAAAGATATAACATTTAAAGACAACACTTATAGAAAATACCACATCATATCTGAAACCGTATAACATACTAAAATGAGGTTGTAAGCTTTTATCAAGTATAAAGATAATATACATATCTATTATCTTGCTTTTTTGTAATGCTTTGTAATGTATTTTTGCTTAATACACATTACAAACATAATATGAAATAATTATATATTAAATAAAGTATAATTAAAAAACAAAAGTATCAAATGTAACAACATTGCTTTCAATATTTAGGGTTTCATAGAACTCAAATAAGTCTTCACCAGCAGTTATTTTTATTTTCTCAAATGTTTTTGGCTGTTTGAGCAGCCATTGCACTGCTTAAACAACTGAAAATGCTTAAAGTACTAGGGAATAATGTTGGTGAAGGCTTATTTGTAGAGCTGCTTGAAATATTTGTAAACTAGTTTATGAATTTTAGGGTATTGTATTGAAAATTTTAGAATTGAGTATTGCAGGATTTTAGATAGAGCACCTTTTATCAAGTGATTTATGGATAAAAGACTGTAACACTGTAAATATCAATGGAGAATATATTTTCTATTGATATTTAGAGTGTTATAGTTAATACAAAATCAATTAAGATTCACCTCATTCAATTATTTCATATATTTTAGAAAGCAACAATGTACTAGTGATTACTAATTACTATGTTGTAGCTAGTCAAAAGATATATGACAGAATAATGAACTAGAAACAAACACTATGATGCTCAACAAAAGTTTCATGCTTTATTCAAAATAGAACAATAACAATGCTATGGAAGTTAATTACTGATGTTTGGAGGTAATAAAGAATTTAATATCTTCATTCACATTAGAATAAGCATATCAAGGGAAAATAGTTATTCAAGTATATATTGGGTGGCCAACTTTTGTGTACATAAGATCTACTTTTTATCTTAAAAGTGTGTTGCGATTGACTTGTTGTCGTAGGCATAGTATTAAGTGGTGAGAGGAAGGTGTAAAATAATACTATGTTTAGATATGTAAGAAAAGCCACAATTTAATTTAAAACATGAAGAAAAGATACTTATATTTTAAACAAAAGAAAAATTGAGGACCACCACTTCACCCTTCTTCTCTCTACTGTGTCCTGACCTACTCTCTCTGTCCCTCTTCCTGTCTTTCTTTTTTTTCAGTTTTATGACCTTTTGTCTACATTTCTTATTGCCCTTTTACAACTGTGTGCAAATGGATTGCACATGGACCGACAAAACCGCATCTGAGGGAGGATGCAGAGGTCTGATATCACTACAGTTGCATTTGCGCATTATGTTTACGCATTGTGTTTGGTTACAAGTGTAACACATTAAGACAAGACATCGTGAGTGATCGACCAAAATTGGGTTTGCGATTGACTTGTTGGCCACCCCTGATATATATAATGAAAAATATCAGATTATAGAATATTTATTGTACCAAATGAAAAACTTGGCATGATATGCTGTGAAAATTGTATAATTTTTGGACATAATGATGATGAAACCATGACAATAGAAAAGAAAATGAGAAAGAAATGATATGCTGTTTAAAGATTCCATTGTAAAGCAATGAACTGCATAAAATTGTTACTTAAAGTATGCTTAATAATCTCACAAATTTAATTGATTACATAAAGAACATATTAATTTTTGCTACAACAATATAAGCATGACAATTATGACAAAATATAAAGTTTAATATTAGAACTGTTGTGTTTCTAAAATTTATATAACATTATGAAATTATTTTTTTATTTTTATATTTACTAGAATAAAAAACAAAGGCAAATGGTTAGAGCTGCTGTCTTGAAAGGAAAAGATCCCCATCAGTTAATTGCAGATATGGAAAAAATTGATCAAATGGGTAAAAATCATTTAATAGTTTTTCTGTCTAATTTTATTTAATTTAGATTTATTTGTAATTTTTAATGAAAAATATGTTGAATGATTATTTTTAGAATATAGTGTTACTGCACCACCACCTCTTAATGAAAAAGTTTTACGTGATAAAAGAAAAAAGTTGAAAGAGACATGGGAAAGAGTTTTAAGATTATATGTAAGAGTAAATTTTTGCTTTAATATTTGTTGATTTGTATATTTATTATAATATTAGATATTGTTATTGTTTAGACTTTGAATTGCTAAACTTATATATTAGCATATTTTGGAATATTTTGTATTATTCATGTGGATTTAACAACGTATCACGAAATGACAAAGAAATGGAAAGTATAATGATAAATTGAACCAAATAAAAATTTTTCTTATTTGATTCAGTTTGTTTTTCATTTATTCACTACAAGTAGTATTGTCATAAAATATTATAATGTAATATTTGATCTATTCATTGTCTTGTTTCTTTTATAACAATTATTCAGTTGTGTTTTAATAAGTAAAATTTAAATTTATTTGACAGTATAAAGAAGATCCTGAAAGGTGGGCTGAGCTGAAGAAACTTGAAATTGAATATGAAAAACGTAAAAATTTTCTTATAAAATATTATGGTAAGAACATTTTTACGAGCGTAAGTTTATAATAATTTAAAGTATTTGAAATTTCTTATAATTCATTTTTAATATAAGTTTACTTATTTATTTATTATCTCAAATCTCTTAAAAAGACTACAGTATAATAATTTAAGATTTAAAAAATATGCATATTTATAAGAACGAATCATTTTATATATTATATTGCAATTATTTTACTTTTTGAATTATTTTCTTGTCTATGAAGAAGTAACCATTAAATGAAAGGTTGCACATGATTGGCACATCTTAATTAGTAATTTTGTGGGTGAGACTAGGAGTAAAGTCATTTAGCTTAACCACTTTTAGAATTCTTGAAAAAATTGCAGGTTATTCCTCTCATTGCCACTTAAAAAGTACTATATTTGACATGGAAAGACTTGGCTAATGAGAATAAATAATAATATTTACACTTTTATTTTTTGCAGGATTGGATCTCACAGAATAATCATGTATGTGAAATTATCGCTGATCTTTTATTCAGTAATTCTTCTGCACTATCTGGTCAAATTTTTTATGTATAATATCTTTACAGTTTTATAACATTGAGAAAATATTTTTTACTATAAATCGTAAACTTTTTTAATGAAAATATANAACAATATAAACTTTATAATAAAAGTATTATCAAAAATTTTTATGTTTAAATTATATTTTCTATACAAATTTATTTATGCAAAACAAATTGATTAAAAAGAAATTTTTTTGCTCTTTTTTTTTGCTATTTTACAAAATTAAATATTTTCACAATATATTGATTGAATTGTAAAGTATTGATAACTTTGTTTTAAATTTTTGTTTGTTAATTAAAGTACCTTATTTATTACTACTTGTAGTGAAATATATTTACTGATAATTAGCTTTATTAATAAAAGTGTTAAGAAAATAAATACGTCAGTATGTGTGGTGAAATTTATTTCACATCAGTAAATTTGATACAAATATTATTTTATCCATTCTGCAGATTAGTTTATTACAATAATTTTAAATTATTTATTTAGTTGGAGAATGAAATTTAGTTAATCCTTTTTAAGAAAAAAAAAATATTTTAAATACATCTATGAATTCTGCTTATTAAGGCAATCCAATATTTAATTTTTGCATTTTTNAAAAATAATTTATGAATATATTTATATTATTTTGTTGTTGAATAATTAATTTGAGATATTTCAATGTTTAGAACAAGAACAAGAAGTTGAAATGGGTGATGATGATAAACGTATGTGCTTTAATTTTTTGGTAAAACAAAATTCAAAACATTTTAAACATTTTAAATTAATAACGTTTTCTTTTTTAGCAAAGCAACGAAAGATTAGATTTGCCGATGAAGATGAAGAGGAGGATTCATCTTCAAAGCTTCACTCGTCCCATCAATCAAAAACAGCAATGGCTGGACAAGATATTTCAGATTTTTTGAAAGAAGTTAGTAATATACATTAACTTGTTATTAAACTTTTTATATAACAATCACATTTGAAAGATTATATTGTATAAGTTTTACTTATTTTTGTGAAAAAAATAATTTAGAATTATAAGAAAATAATATTTCATTTTATTTGCCAAATTTTTTTTACTTATTGCGAATTATTCTGGAATACAGCAAATGAAAGACACTAAATTGTAACTTTTTACAATAAAATTTTAAATTATTTTCAGTTAAAATTTAATATTTAAATAATAATTATATTTCTAAGTCAAAGATTAATTAATAAGCTATTAAATAAATACAGATAATCTGCAATGTGGATTAGTACCTATATAATTATATATAAACTAAGCCTAACATATAATAATAATAATAATAATTGGATTATATGCCAAATTTTAATCAGGCTATAATATGGCCAATTAATTACAAAGATATTTGGACTAAAGGTAGGCAGTTAAGCTGCCGTCTTGTGTTAAAGTTAAATTTATTTATTTCTAATAATTAAATTTAATACAAGATAGCAGTTTAATCATCTATCTTTAATACAAATTATGCAATATATAATTAATTAGCTATATTATGTATTACAAAATTCTAATACATAGAAGTACCACATAAGTGTATTCTTTCTTTCATAACATCCTTTACACACTTTGAGAATATACAATTTTTACAGAGGGGTTGACCTTCCTTTATAGGCTACTTTCCCTTTCTCAATATGTAAAAATGGTAGTAAAATATTCCAAAACTTCGGCACAATCAGCTATATTATAGCCCGATTAAAATCTGATAGTATCCTTTATTTATCAGTACTTATAAACAATATTTTTATAAAATAAAATTAAAAATTTTTTTAATCAATTTTATCATTGTTGTTTTTGAATAATTAAAGTTTCATGGGTTATTTTTATTTCTTGATTTGTTTGTTAATTAGATGGAAGCTGCTCATAAAGAAAAGGGTTCTGGTGAAGAAGGGGAAGAACAGGAAGTTGAAAAAGAAGAACAAACAGAAAAAACTACAGAAGAATCACAACAATCTCAACAACAATCACAAGAGAAGTCTGATGTTGTAGTTTCAAATATTGAAGTACAAGCTCAACTACCTCCTCCAGTTACTGTATCCAATCCTCCTCCTGGTCCACCACCTGGCTTACCACCAGGTAAGTTAATTTATATGTCATTAAACAGTAGTATGTTGTTTTTAATTTGAGAAAAAGAAAAATGTTATAGTCAACCTTACCCGTTTTCTGTGCAAATGGGTTGACTATAATGTAATAATCTTAATCTTTGCTATCGTTGCTTTTGCCCGAGCAACGCGGGACTTATGTGCTAGTATATAACATAAAAAGTAAAATTCTAGTCACTTCATTCAAATTTAATTAATTTTTATTATAAATCAGAATAAATATTTATGTATTTAGCATTTAATAATATGCAATATAAATATTAAAATAAAAATACTATTATAAATTATTAAATGCTAAATTTTGGTAAGTTGAGAGAAAGGTAAAACTGAGTTTGTAATTGCAGTTTAGAATTGTCAGATCTATATCATTGTATAGCCTGCACCTATTTTTAAGTGACTTTTAAACTCAGATAAGGCAAAGGTTATTTGTATGAAATTTTGGTAATTTGAAGTTAAAAAAAACAAGCAGTTATTTATTGTGACATCGTAACAATGTAGGGCTGCAATTTTTAATCATATTTTTTAATTTATTTAATTGATGAGGCTATGTCTCATCTTTAAAATTGCACTGTTGTTAATGGCTACACACCTTAGAGGTATGAAGGAGTACTGTACATGTCAGGAGTTGCAATTTGGCATGCAAAATCATGCGCACATAAAATAAACCAGACTTGTAGGTAGTCGGGACCGAGAACCAAGTCAAAAGAAAATACGAAATGCTGAGACTGTTTCTACAAACAGGCACAAATGCAAGATTTGCACATGCATTGCTCATGCGCTTTAAGACAAAGTCTCATCCCAAAAATGGCTTTGCCATTTTACTTGTTTAAAATATATGATCTCCATCTCAAATTAGTAGTGGCTTGTCCCTGTACATCATACTTTTCTTTTAACAATAGAGTCATGCCAGTCATCTATCTAACTCTTTTCAAGGGAATTTTTGAATTGAAATAATGTAACTTCCAGTTTGCATTGGAAGTTCACGTATATTTAATTGGGCCTCCTGCCTCAAACGATTCCATATCTGGTCTTGGATTTCATCTATCTAACTTCATTCTTGAGATTAAGAAAAGATGGACAGACAGATCGACAACAGTGGAATTTATAGGTCTACAATTTTTTCAAATTGCAGCCCAATAAATTTAAATATGGATGATTTTTAAATAAGATTAAACACAATACGAAAAATAATTTTTATTTAAAATCAAAGAAAATGAAATTGATTTTTATTAAATGAAAGTATATAAATATAGACAATTGCTTTTGACAAATGTCATTAGTAACTTTAATATTTCATAAGAAAAATTTGGATGAAGACAAAGAAAAACAGAAAATAATGAAAGATTATATTTATAAATAAATTATAATTTTAATAATTTGCACTTGTATTTAAAGTATAAATTTGTGGGATTTTTAAGTTGTTTATTTTGGTTATGCCTTCACCATAATAATTTATAGTGTATATTAGAGTAAACATATTAATGTATAAGCATTTAAAACCATTGTTCAATTTTAACAATTCTGTAATCATTTAAAGTGAAATTTTTTTTCATATTAAATATTTTTCAAAAATTAATTAGATGAAAAATACTAGATATTTTTCTATTTAAATTAAATATCTAAAGAAAGAATTTAATAATAAATTTAATATTTTAATTTTCTAATGTTAATATTAAACTTTTTAAATTTTTCAATAAATAAAAAAAAAATTTAGAATTTTAATTATATTAATATATTTTAGAAAATAAAGTTTTATAAAAATACTGTTTTTAGCATGCATTCTATTTTAATAAAAAGAATGTTTAATTTTTTATAACAAGACATTTTTACATTAAAATTGTACAAAAGATGACTGCTGATGTCTTTTCTGAAATTTATTCGTATTTTAACGTATAAATATATTATTTAAGGTTTAAGTAGATATATTGTTTGAGCCAATTATTTCCATAAACAATTATAGGTTATCTAATAATTTCAAATAATTATGCTGTCATTACAGTAATTTTACTTGGTTATATAAATAATTTCATCAGTGTTGATTAAATTTTTGAATTTTATTTTAGTTTATTCATAAATAAAGTTAATTTTTATAAATGACATTATTTATAAGATGTTAATCTTTAAATAAAATGTTAGAATGTTATAAAAATATATATATTTTACATATTTTATAAATGTAAGACATTTTTGAGATTCACTATAAATCGATATACAGTCGACCCCGCTATAACACTGTTGATTTTTCCATTTTATATGAATTCCATGTTGTACGAGTCACTTAGATTTTACAAATACGTGTGCCATTCACAGCCCAGCACATGTATTTGTAAAATCTAAGTGACTCGTATATAGGGGGTCGACTGTAATAAATTTATTTAACTATAATAACTAATATTTTAGTTTGCTTTAATATTTTGTATGTTCATATTAAAACTAAATTATATCTTTATTTATGAGTAGTTTTCAACAAGTTGTAGCATTTAAAATTTTTATAACAAATCATTATCACAAATTTGATTTTAAATTTGATATTGATATTTAGAATTTTTTAAGTTTTCTTATGCAGATTTGCCTAATTTATTGATTTTTGGGAACAGTGCTATATACGGTAATGAACAAAATAAAATATTTTATGAATATTTTTATGTAAATATTAGTTAGAATTCTTAAAAAAATTTTTAAATGAAATCCGGAATGAATTGAAAATTTGAATTTTGATTTTACTTTGTTTTTTGATTAGCTTTGTTTATTTCACATACATTTAAAATTACTGTTCAATCATGGAATAAAAATGAATTGAAACTTGTATCGAATTATTTTCTTGTTATTCTAAGCTGTATAAAAGTTCTCCATAAGCTATAAATATTTTAGTCAGTAATAATTTGTAGACAATTGATATTTTAAAATTGTCTGAATTGAAGAAAAATAATGTATATTCTGATAGTACATTTCTTTGTTTGTTATTAAAATAATGTCTGAGTTGCTAATTTGATTGATTGACGGAAGAAAGTCTTCCATTTTATACTGTAAGTTCCAAGCTTTTCTGTTTGATTTCAATAAAAATTTTTAAAGATTTCTGTATTTTATTTTTTTGTAATATTTATTTTGTTTATTTTTTAAAAAAAGCTTATACATAATTGACTTTCAAATCTAATTATACAGTATATTATATACAATACATTTGCACTTGTTAATTTTGTAGAACTTTTTGATAAACAATATTTTTTTTCCTTTGGTGCATACATAAATAATCTTTTAGGGGTTCTGACTTTAGAACAAACCAAGTATAGCTGGTCATGAGAAAAGCATGGACTTTCCAAATTCATACCAACCACTTTTAATGATTGTTTTTGCATTTTGTTTATTGTCATTGCAAAGGCTAATCTGACTAGAAATTGTAGCCACTTAAACTGAAATGGCATATTCATGGGAATTAGCGGTATTCTTGGAATTAATGCATCTTTTCCTGCCGTTTTTCCTGTTAATATTTTTGTCTCAACGACATTCGGCATCAATTTTTTTATGATTATTTTTGTCCCATTGCATAACTTTGGTGAGTCCAAGTTTCACAAAAGCATTACTGATGCTCCAACCTTTAGCTGTAGGTTATTAGTTGGTAATCCAGCTGGTTCCAAAAGGTTTAAAAACTCCACCAGATACATTACTCATTTGATAATATCTGATTTGCCCTCAGTTGAAACATTCTCAAGTGGTTTTGTTGAAGTCTTTCTTTAAAAAGGGATTCTCATTCAGAATCTCTTACGTTGGCTATTCTTATGTTTTCCTGTTTATTTTGCTGTGCTTGCTCTGGAGATGTTTTATTTGCCCTCAATTGAAACACTCTCAAGAAGTTTTGTTCAAGTTTTGTTCACAATCTTCAATACTTTCACTATTTTTTAATGACCTTTTTCTTTTTGCTTTAGCACTCTTTTGGGCAATTGACACTGGTTTTTTTTGGTAACATTTTCAAAATCTGTTAAAATTCAGTTATTTATAGATTACTGTTAAATCTATATATATCTATTATTAAACAAACTAACAACAATCATTTATATATATTATGGGTTATTATATAGCTTAGTGTCAATTCTAGGATCTAAGCAATACTCATACAAACTTTAGTCCAGATTGGTATAAGAATAAAGATTTGTATAAAGGACAAACCAACAAGAATTTATTTATTTATAATACACAGTTATAGTGATAAAAAATAATTTTTAGTCATTAGCAGTATATATTATTACAGATTAGGGTCAGTATCAGTATATTAGTCCTATATCTGACAATAATTTTTTTCTCGGTTATTAAATGTTTAAAGACAATAAGGTAATATGATTAAAATTTTATATTATTATTTTAACTAAAAGCTTTAAAATAAGTATATTTAAAATGAATTGATCTTTAATGTTATGAGTCTTACTTGGATGTAATAACAGTGATCAGTCTAGATAGATGCAGGTAGTAAAGTGCATGGGAGCTCTGTTCTTTTGTGTAGTCTAGGTGGAATATGTATAATTTAACAAATATATAAACTTTATAGGACCTTATAAATAATTTTTGCTCTGAGTTCTATGAAATACTATATATTAATATTGCAAATATCACAGACGACAAACGAATTAGTTCTTCCTAACATTGTTATCTAATAGTCAATATTCGTTAAAGGTTTAAAACTGATTTAATTGTGTGACTTTAATGGTATGTTTGGAATTGAATATTAGAAAACAAAAAAAAATTACTGTAATTATTAGATAAAAAGTAAGATTTATTTGTGTTAATAAATTTTTATGAAAAATAAACTTAAGCTCTATGATTTGTTTATGAAGGAATACAGAAACAAAACTGCAAAATGTTTTTGCTTGTATATACATTAACTTTGTTTTTCTAACTATTTCTTCATAAATAAATGAAATTTAACTTAATATCATTACATAATAGTACAGTGTAAGACATTAGATTATATAAATTATTAAAGAAAAAAAAATTTGTGTGTCTTTGTAATTAAAATTCAGTACATTATTAAAATAATTTTTATGGTTTTAAATTTATTGTATTTGCAATGTTAAGTTAAATAAATAAACAGGATAGGAAAACAGTTTTAACAACAGTGAATAATTCTGCTAACTTCATGTTTTGTTTATAATTAAATTATTTAAAGTAAGTTTTGAAAATAGAAATAAACAAACCAACCAACTTGACAATTTCAATAAATGCATTTTAATATATTTATTAACAATAAAACTTCATGAATGGTAACGTGCAATCATAAATTATTAATTGAAAATTTAATGATCTTTGTTTGTGTACTTATACATTTTTTATTGAAAAAATATTAAATTAACATCAATTATTAATACTTTCTCATTCAAATATGAATATAATATATAATTTAAGTATATCATGATTATATTTAAAAATCTTTTTCTGTTTGTATTTCAATATATCATGTCGCCAAAAAAGTTCTGTTGTTATTTTTATAAAGTGGAATATTTATCGATAAATTTGATATCAATGATATTTACTGTTGAAAGTAATCGCCATTGTATTCTATGCATAGTCGCCGACATTCCACAAGGGTATGAAATATTCCTTCCTTGTAAAATTATGTATAATCCTTAGAGGTAAAAAGGATTCAACCTTTCTTTGTGTACTATCATAATTGGTAAATGATTTTTATGCAACGTGGTTTCTGCAAATTCAAAAATGACTTATTTTTTGCATACTCAAACAATTACTTCTCTAGTCCATGGCTCAATCTCAAAAGTATAATTTGTTTTCAAACTGAAAATAGTTGGATCATCCTGCTGCACAATTGGATTTCTATAGATTCTAATTTCACAATCTTCTGGCTCATTATATTATTACATATTACATATATTTTTTTAATGAAAGAAATAAATATTATGCAACCACAGTACATTTTTAGTTTTCACTTTTACTAAATTATTTCTTTGTACGAAACTTTATGGATATATTTGTAACACATGGTATACATTTTCTAAAATTTATTTCTTTATTTACTTGAAGATATGCTATTAACCTCATTCTTATAGTCTTACTTAATCCCAAATAAATCCTTTTCCCATTCAACTGAAGGTTCGGTGTTTTCCCGTATATTAAAAAATCAATTTAAAGTAAGAATTTGAATATATATATTGCATTTTTAATTTCACTATAGAAATATATGTCGTAGTTAATTATTTACAAAATGCAATATGTGTATTTGTATGTATGTTTAAATTCATAAAAAAAGAAAACTTTCTTCAATAACAAATTTTCTCATTTGAAGATTTATTCATGTTATAATTTAATAAGGAATTGCTGACATATTACAAATTATTTTGAGATGTAATGAAATTATATGCAATGACTTAAGCCATTCAATAATTAATTTCAATATATGATAGCATTAAAGTTATATCTTTGAAGGGTTATATAGAAATTTTGATATTGTGGATGAAAATGAGTGATTTGTAATTAAGGATAGATGTTTATTATAGTTCGGAGGTGATGTTTATTAATTCAGAAAATTTGTAATGGTCGATAACTGACATAATTCAAGTATTCAATAACCTTACAGAACCGTATAATTTGTTAAATGTATTGATGGAATAGTCAAGAAAGTATAATACATCAAATCTAAAGTAATTGATCTTGGTATCTGTCTTGTAAGGTTGTATCATTATTGGATGTGTGTCCACGCCCACCCGAAGACGAGATAGATAGCCAACATTTCCATTTTTAGCATTTATTTCCATCAGTATTCCTTGAATTTCAAATACGTCTATGTTCACAATTGTGATTTGGAGATTCAATAGTGTTTTAGCTAATGAGGCTATGGCTTGATCATAAATTTTAGATAGATCTATTGAATAATTCAAAACTTTTTATGAGTTTCAAACTCGTAAAAAGTTTTGAATTATTAGGAAAATTTGAATGTCGATGTTTTGTTAAACGTACACAAACTTATACAATAATTAAATGCTAAATGCTAATTTGGCCTAGAGGTAGTTGTTAGGTGCCATCTCTTATTAAATTTAATAATTAAAATTACATTAATATTTATTTATTTATTAATTTAGAAAGTTCTAGAAGAAATGAATCTACCCTGAGCAGGACTCAACACTGCCGCTTTCCGTGCAGATGAGTTGCCAGTTATGCTACCCGGACTTCTGTTCAGTCTTTGCTTTTATAGTTATTAAAATTAATTTAGATATAACCATACTTGTTACACACAGCATTACAAATTTCTTAGTGTTTAATTATTAATAATAACAGTAGTATAGCCTGACGTAATCTTATAATCATTTGGCTTTGATCATATTTTTGTCCTAAAGTTATAATTCAGTATTTTAATTTTAAATATTAAATATTATTAATTATTTTTGCTGTTTGTTTGTAAATATTTTCCATTTAATGTGAATATCCCATGGCAAATTTAAAAAATTTGGTCAAATAAAAGACATGAAAAGATTTTTTAAAATTATTATAAAATTTTTAATGTTACTAGATTCCATTTATATGATTTGATGATTACTTTCATTTTCTTGTTGCTAAAATTAATTTGGGAATTGTTATCTTCAATTGATACTATCTTGTATCATCATTGATAATTATTCAATAATTTTGAACAATTTTTTTTATTATTTAAGAATATTGTTGACATTTTTATAATTGGATTTCTTTTAATTCCATTTGTTATCTGGCAAGATAAATTCTAAACTAAATAAAAACTACCATTACTTTACTTGTGTAATTCAGAAAATTATTTTTATATAAATTATGGATTAAAATAGGTTATGTAACAGTAAAAATTTTTGGAGATAATTATTAAAAATGTACAATTCTTTATTTCTCTTCATCTGATGAATTTTTATACCATTACTGCAATATTTTTCTTATGAACCACTACAATTATTTAAGTATAGATAGTGAAATATATTTACATAGTTGAATATTTGTTAAATTTACATTTATAAATTATTAATCTGAAATGATAATTTTTCTGTTTAGGTCCTCCTCCGCTTATGTTTCGTCCACCTCCGCTTAGACCGGGGCTTCCTCCTCCGAGATTGGTTCCACCCGGCGTGCCACCTCCGCCTCGTCCTGGTCTTCCTCCAGGACCTCCCCCCGGACTGCCCCCTCGAGTAGGTGCACCACCAATGAGATTACCTCCCGGTCCACCTCCAGGTAAGATGTAATCTATTTGATAGAGACTTTTCTAAAGAAGTTAAAAACAAAAATAATATTATATTTATCAGGTATGCCTCCTCCACGTCTTTTAAGACCTCCCGGAGTTCCTCCTCCGGGTCTTCCACCGCCGCCCGGTATGCCACATCCGGCAAACATGCCAGGTCAGGCTCTTCAAAGACCCTCCGTACCTATGCTTAATCCTAACGTGTTGAGTGCACCGCCTAGTTTAATTCAAAGACCGAAAATGTCGCATCTGACGGACGAAGAAAAGAAACGGTCGGCGACAATCGAGGCAAAACCACAGATAAGATCTCTCAATATCGATATAACAAGATTCATGCCTACAACATTAAGAGTTAAGCGTGAAGACAAAGGAAAGAGAAATCCTACTAAATATGGTAAGTTTGTATTCAAATTTTTTAAAGTTAAATAAAATCTTTAAATTTATATTATGGCATATAATTGTAAACAAATATTTGGCAATGAAATTAATATAATAATAAATGAATATACTACATTTTTATTGTTGAAATTTTAAATCTTTTTAAAATAAAAGTTAAATAAAAATATTTTATTTAAATTAATTATGTTATATTACTATAAAATAATATATAATTTTCAAATAAGAATTCATTATAAATATTCTACACTTTCAGATACAAGCAAAGAACACATGGTAACCACTACCAAAGCGACGGTGCCCATGTCAGTTCCCACAAAAGACGACGCGTACGAACAGTTTCTGAAAGAAATGGAAGGATTACTATAATAGAGTCGTCTCCTCATCGCTCATTATAGTACAGTAGATTTCTTTTCTTGTTCATTTAGCAATCATCGAGCCATCTTCATACAAATCATACCGACGCAAATAATTACAGACCAATACTGTATACCTCTAAGAAATAAATGTATATTGTATAGTATAAATTTTGCTTCACTTAAAAATTAATAAATTTGTTTTTATATATTAACAAGTATTAGAAATATAAAAGTATCATCATTCACTAATATAAATTTTAAGCGTTAAAATTTCGAGCGAGTCTTCCTTCCTTCCGAATAATTTGCATTTAAACGAGTCCTTTCATACATTTTAAATAAAGAAATAAATCATTAATAACATAATAGAGATAAATCGAAGTAATTTGAAAGGACATTTACGTACAGTTGCGTTAAAACCATTTCAGATTCAGGATATCAAATATTAATCCTGTCTGATAAAATAAACACTTCATAACTCTGCTAAAAATTCCTTTTGATATTTTAAGCTTATAAAAATATAGAGAAATTCTCTATAAATGTCTTCAACTTTCTTTTTAATAATTAAAAATTTATATAAAAGTTTTTGTATATAAATTTTTAATTGTTTATATCAAATTTTTATATAAAATACAAAGTGAATGGAATATTTTTCATCTAAATATTTCTTTTTTTTCCAAATTCTTTAAAAAATTTTACACAATTTTATTTTAATAAAACTTCTTCAAATACATTAAATTAGTAATAAACATCTATATATATATATAAACAAATAAACGTCATCCTCCTGGAAAATAAGACGAAGTTATTATGGTTAATGCGGTTGAAAAATGCCGTAAATATTATTCTAAATTCCAAAAATTTATCAACAAATTAGTAGAAGTCGATTTCCGGTCTCCATAACATTCTAACTAAGCCGTGACGTCACAAGCAGGTTGTGGCGTCACAGATTACAGCACAGAGCATGTGCCAGCGGGGGATATAAATACGGTTGTCGAAGGCGGTGGACGACTCGCTAGGAATGACGGAGACAATGGCGGACGACAAGGAGGAAGACAACAACAGGAACTTTCGAATACGTGCTAGGAAAGGTGCTCTCAAGAAGAAAAACGTTTGCGTTGTGAAAGATCATAAATTTATACAGAGATTTTTTAAACAACCGACATTCTGTAGCCATTGTAAAGACTTCATTTGGTAAGTCTACCTTCATCAATCGGAGGAAACGCGCTTTGAAATTTACTTTTTTTTTTTTGTACCCGAAACGCGATGTAATTTCGATCAATCGATGTCAACAATGACGAAATGGATCTCACCTTCTTTATATCTTTTAATACACAATCGCGAACGCCGCACGGATACTGTGGACGGTCACACAGAACACATCAATACGTAACACGCTATTGTCTCGATGATCATTGTAGTATTTCGATTCCTATTCATATAAAAGCATTGTAAACAGCAGCAAGATTTGCTATATAAAATCTAAACTTGTACTATACACTATTCAATTTTTTAACGGAGCGGTTTCGTGTAGGCCATTTAATTTTTCAGCATTGCACCGACCAACGAGATGATGTAGTAGATGCTGTACGTAGGAAGTTTAATGTTTAATACAGGTTTTATTTATTATTATTAAATATATATTTTTTCGCTAACGTAGTTAACGTGCCGAATATTTTCACTCGTATTGTCATCTTATATTAAATACGTCGAGTAACATATGCAAACTTCTTCCTCTATGTAATCAACGCCAGAAAACATCCGCATTTTACACGTAAACGGCTCTATTATTTAAAATTTTCACGTGTTACGAAGCTCGGTAAGAAATATACCTATAAGAAGAGAAGAAAAAAAGCTCGGTGTAATTTCATTTTATTTATATTAAAATTCACAANCCGTTCACAGCCCGGCACGCGTATTTGTGAAATCTAAGTGATTCGTACAACATGGAATTCATATAAAACGGAATAATCAACAGCGTTATAGGGGGGTCGACTTGTACAGGTGAATCTAGTTGACAATTTTACACGTCCAGTAATTTAGTGTTTAGAAGATAAACCAGACTATTGTTAACGTCTATCTGTATTGTATAAATCTAAGAAAGAAGAAAAAAACAATTCGTATGAATTGAAATTACATCGGAAGCGAATGTAAACCTTAATTTTACCGTTTTATTTTGTTATTTTACGTTATTTATACTTGTGTTTTTGATGATACACATTGTAAAAATAGTAACTTAATGAACGGTAAAATGAAGGTTCCCGTTACTGTCGGCCTTTATTGAATTATATTATATTTTCTGTACTCGTCTATTTAAAACTAATACCTTGTACTTATACAGGCCCATTTCAGTGTTAGATCTATATTATTGTTTCTTGCCCCAAAATTATGATTCACGTTCATTATAAAGGAAAAAAAAAAGAGAGAAAATATATTTATTTCTGTTACATTTTTAAATTGTTTTTATTACAGATCTTTTATGTATTAGCCATTGCATAGTATTTGAGTTTATTATTGAACTATACTACCAATTAATGGAAACTAACGTTAAGTAAACTATAGAAATAATTTTATATATATTATAAAGTTCTTCTCGTCTTTCGATTTTTATTAAATTTATTCGTGAGTAGGAAAATAATTTTACTGCAGGATGACGTATTTTAATTAAATTATCTTTTTTCTTTTTTTTTTTTTCTTTGGTGCGACTAAATAGTAGTACCTACAAAGCAGGAAAACGCTGATTCAGCTAGTGATTCGCTCTTATAACTTACGTTGAATTTAGATTAAAGTAAAGAAGGGAAAAAACCTCTGTCCGTGATGAATTTTTGATTACAGTTTCTTCATCTTTATTTTTATTGATTCATCATACAAACTCGCATAATACATTTATAAAACGATAGATTACTGCACAAACATCTTTTTACGTCTCTCTCTCTCTCTCTCTCTCTTCCTTTCTAATTCAATATTATTCATTAGATCTTTTGTTATTCGGGGGAAAAATAAGAAAAGTTATCTGTTTGAGGGAATAAGACGTAACTTCTTATATATATATATATATATATTTTTTTTTTGTAGTAGAAGAGGAAAGAGAAATGAGTAGATAATGCACACGAAATTCTCGATAACTCCGAATTTATTTAATGTGGCGATCTCGTGCCTAAAAAATATGACCCGTCGAGGAAGTATGGGTTTCAATACGAAAGGTCAACTACACCTGTTGTATACAGGTAACTCTGTAACAGCGATAATGTAATCGGTAGGATGCTACTTAATAATAGTTGATCGTTAATCTAACGCAGATATACAAGTCGACACCCCTATAACACTGTTGATAATTCCGTTTTATATGAATTCCATGTTGTACGAGTCACTTAGATTTTACAAATACGTGTGCCGGGCTGTGAACGGCTCACGTATTTGTAAAATCTAAGTGACTCGTACAACATGAAATTCATATAAAACGGAAAAATCAACAGTATTATAAGGGGGTCGATTGTAAAACTCATATTTTGTTGACGTAATGATAATTAAACGCTGACTAATAATAATAATAATAGTAAAAACACTTGTAATTGTTTACATATTTTAAAATACAGCTGTAATTACGGCTTAAGTAGTAGGTTACTTGTTTGTTATATTATAAAGCGTGCAATCTTCTAGTCTTATTCTTTATGCATGGAATTTTGGTGAAACTGTATTAAAGTTCTGTTTGTACGTTAAATATAGATTTCTATTGTTATAATAAACTTGCGTAGTATAAAAAAAAAAAAAAAGCTTTAGAAGTGTAGAATAAAGCTTTTGTAGGCCTTGAATTTCAATCGAATATTCTAAAATAATGATTATAGTTATGCAAAAGAATCAATACGCAAAGTTTATTTATATCAATAAATTGTTTTAATTTTACTACTTGTGCATTTTTCGTATCCTTGAAAAATATTTTTAAACGCATCCGTAAAATCGAAGCCGGAAAAAATTTGTGGTTTTATTTTATCTTTATACATTTTTTTTATTATTATTATTTGTTTTTATGTCGGATAAAACGTTATTTACAATGAAATTTTACTTTATTAAGCGTTTAAATCTACTAAAATTATTAAATAATTTGAACTGGATCCACAAAACTAAACGCTTACAAGATAGAAAGAAAACAAACATTTTTGTCTGTAAAAATAATATNGCTGTTAAGTTAATAGAGAAGTTGCGGCCGAAGTTTTCATCTGTAAAACGTGAACGTCGAACGTCAATTACGAGTAAGCGGCGCTCGACGTTCGACGTTCACGTTTTAAAGATAGAAAACTTCGGCCGCAATCTTGCTATTGTTTACTTTTTGTGTGTGTGTGTGTGTTTGAAAATAAATAAAAATAAATAAATAAATAAATTCGCTAAACCGATTTGAAAATATTTTTGTATTCCATAACAGTAAAATCATCACGAATATTCTTTTCACGCATACAATTAATGAGGTTGTTTTTTTTATAATTTTTTTTAATACTTAAATTATAGCGAAGTAGGTAACCCATTACGATAATGAAATCAATTAGAAGAGACCAGCCATTTCTAATTGAAGAATATACTGTATAACGTTCATGTTGCGGTAGCATTAACTTAAGAGAACCGATACCTTCCCCTTTTAAAAATATTTTCTTAGTTACTTTAACACTATATTATGATGAGATCTTAACGTCGTAAACCTATTATTATTATTATTATTATTATTTTAACGTGTCTTGTCAAGTTCGATATAGGCCTATATTTTGCAAGTATATCGATAAATTTAAATCTGTTTTTAAGTTGGATCTGAGATATATATATATTCAATAAAAACTACGTCTTGAAAGTAGATCTATAGCCATTAAAAATCGACTAATATTTTTTTTTTTTTTTAGTTTGAATTCCAAGAAAATACACTTCGATCGCGATAATTTGTTTTCAGGTTTTATTTTTTATTTTCCATGTAAGGGTCAAGGTTTGGCTTTCGTAGAAAAGGAAAAAAAAAACACGCTGGGAACTTAAAATGTTTTTTTTTTTTTAACTTGATTCTATTTTAGTAGAATAATTCGTACTTTTTTTTTATAGAAAATTTCTCATTTTATACAGAAGTATAATTGGAATATACAAGTTGACCCCCCTATAACGCTGTCGATTATACCGTTTTATATGAATTCCATGTTGTACGAGTCACTTAGATTTTACAAATACGTGAGCCGTTCACAGCCCGGCACGCGTATTTGTGAAATCTAAGTGATTCGTACAACATGGAATTCATATAAAACGGAATAATCAACAGCGTTATAGGGGGGTCGACTTGTACAGGTGAATCTAGTTGACAATTTTACACGTCCAGTAATTTAGTGTTTAGAAGATAAACCAGACTATTGTTAACGTCTATCTGTATTGTATAAATCTAAGAAAGAAGAAAAAAACAATTCGTATGAATTGAAATTACATCGGAAGCGAATGTAAACCTTAATTTTACCGTTTTATTTTGTTATTTTACGTTATTTATACTTGTGTTTTTGATGATACACATTGTAAAAATAGTAACTTAATGAACGGTAAAATGAAGGTTCCCGTTACTGTCGGCCTTTATTGAATTATATTATATTTTCTGTACTCGTCTATTTAAAACTAATACCTTGTACTTATACAGGCCCATTTCAGTGTTAGATCTATATTATTGTTTCTTGCCCCAAAATTATGATTCACGTTCATTATAAAGGAAAAAAAAAAGAGAGAAAATATATTTATTTCTGTTACATTTTTAAATTGTTTTTATTACAGATCTTTTATGTATTAGCCATTGCATAGTATTTGAGTTTATTATTGAACTATACGTGATATCAGTCGGGTAGATTCTATACAAAAATCATTCATTCACTGTTATAAATGGGTGTAATCAATAGAGAACCGATAGAAAGTATTCATTAAATATTGGACGATTCTTAATATATATATATATATTATATTAAAAATTGATTTTTCAATACTTTTTTACAATTTATAAAACTGATTTACTGGCTATAAAATTTGAAACTGAGTAAAAAGAAAGAAAGAAAAAAAAAAGTATTTAGCCTACTGAGGGTTTTCGTGTTTTAAAATGCAATTTAAGATATTTAAAAAAAAGAAATAAAAATCAAAATTCGTTCTTTAAGAGTGGACATTTTGTAATGCAGTCAGAGTAAGACGATACTGTATATTGGCAATCTAAAACTGTTTCTACAGTATTCGATACTATAATAATAATAATAATAATAATAATAATAATACTTAAACTGGTGTTAAGTCGTACGCAAATATGAATATATATATTCCTGTAAATATTTTCAACGAATGACATATTTTTGTTTAGATTTTTTTAAAAAAAACTTGAATTTTCTACTAAATATATACCGGATTTAGATGCTGCCATGTTTTTTTTTTTAGCGCAGTAATAAAAATAATAAAGCACTTTAAAAGGTTTTCTGTATCATGTATTTTTTTTTAAAGATTTCAATAAGATCTCCTGTAAAAAGTTAGAATTTATAAAATACAACAAACAAATGTTAGTTATCTTTATACAGTCGACCCCCCCTATAACACTGTTGATAATTCCGTTTTATATGAATTCCATGTTGTACGAGTCACTTAGATTTTAAATACGTGTGCCGGGCTGTGAACGGTTTACGTATTTGTAAAATCTAAGTGACTCGTACAACATGGAATTCATATAAAACGGAATAATCAACAGTGTTATAGGGGGG